AATAGGCTTTAATAGCCCCAGATTTAAAGCCCTCAGCCTGCTGTTTAGCTTACCTGAAACTACAGAGGTAGAAAGTGCTGCTTTTTGGAGCCTACAAGCAGCATGAGAGCATCCAGGCTACAGAGAATAACTCCTCCTGCAAACAATTCCAGAATAATTGAAGTGAGGTTAGTGAAATTACTTGGATTTTCATCACTTTCCCCAAGACTAGAATTTCCTCCTCCTTCTATGAGCAAATATTTTCCAACAAAACATCATTAATTAAAAAGTACAACAATTAAAAATATTTTTAGTGACAGCTCCCTGACACTGGAGAAGAATGCTTTGGGAGAAAAAAAGAAGATATTTAGCTTCGGTTGGCTGCCATTCAAACATTTTCATCTATTCAAATCAATGAAACCAAACCCAAATAAATTCTATCTGGATTTCAGTTTGAGACACACGATGCTGAACAATACCAATTAGGACACATGGGATGAGCGTCTTCCAGCGAAAAACTGGGGGAAAACCCTTCCAACCTTCAGCTGCTCCAGTTTCCACCCAAGGCTAGAACTCGATCCCTGAACGAGCAGTCCATAAGGGGGAAAACTTGGGACGTAATTCTCAAAGACAGATGGGGATGGATGTAAGAAAAAACTGGGATCTCAGAGTAAATAGAATATTTTCCCCCACCACAGAATTCAGTGAACAGAGCACCAGTGAAATCTGAACAACCCATCCAAGCTGCACTTTCCAGCAAAAATATACCTTTGATCTCCTGGCTGAGTGTTTGGCCTCGGTGCGGCGGTGGCAAGCCTCCCATTGCCTCTGAGAGCCAGGACCGCATCCAGCCCCGTCCTAGGTAATCATGTGTCAACATTTCCACGGTACGCCTGCCTGCCTGTCAGCCAGCTCGTTAGAAAATTCCTGCAGACCAACACTGACATTTTAAGGTTTTATCCATTAGAAAAACAAAACCTCCCCTCCCCAAGCCTGTCCAGAGCACAAAGGTACAAGACCTGATCAAAACAGGATTTTATCAAGAAGTTTTCCCTAAAGAAAGTGAACGCTAGAGGTCAATCTAACAACTTGTCCCGGAAATACATATCCCTGGAATAAAGTATTTCAGACTTCTTCTGTGTACTGTACACCTCTCTAACGACATCCAGATTCATGGGCTTGGCAAGACGCTTCATATCTAACAAGAGTTTCTTCTGTTCTTTCGAATTTGTTCTTGTCTTGCTATACATTAGTATTTCCTTTTCTGCAGCTCGCCTGTATGATCGCTGTCCCAATTCATGGCTCGCTGATGTACTTAACCGCCCGTTTATGAAACAAAAGGAGAAATTGGCACTTGCGTGGGTAAATACTGGAGGCCAAGTATGTCCCTGGTGGAACTCTGCTGCAGTCGGTTGAGTGAGATTAGAGATGAGTGCAGGAACAGAGAAGCAGCCATCGCCACGCAGATGAAAGCTCGGCTGAGTCGGGATCTCATGTCTCATGGATAAATCCATGGTTTCAGAGAGGCAGCAGGAGCCTGCTGGGACGCAAGCGATGGGTTTGTGATTTCCAGCCTTGGAGTCTGATTCCCTTCCAAAGCATCTCCCATCTAATAGCAACAGGGATGACTCCATTACCTGCGCCTCGCGCTTTCTTCATCTCATCTTCCGCACTCAGACTCTGGAGGACCTTGTGGCTACAAACTCCCACAGACTATTTACGCATAACACACAAAAAAAATGCTTTTGGTTGTTGTTTTTTTTCCTTTATCATTCTTAAACACCCAGCCTTCCCATTTCAGTGAATTTCTTCCTCCCTCTCCCCTGCTCTTAGCAATATAAATCAGATGTAGCCCTGCCAGCCTGCTCCAGCCTCCCCATCGCATCCTGCTCCGACAAATCCCCAGCTCCCCTTTTATAAGGCTTCTGCCTCGGCCAAACTCGATGGAGACACGGAAGGAGCGCAGACTTCGCCGACACGGAGGTTGCCTCCGCCGGGAGAGCCAAAGGGGATTCAAGGCACAAAAAGTCAAGTCAGATGAAAGTGCAGATGCAGCAAAGAGCATGTTTAAACACACGATTTCTCCCGGGGAGTCACCGGGACCGCTCGTGTGCTCCGCGCTGTGCACATGTGCGAGTGCTTTGCTGAACCCAGGCCAAAATGCAGTTGTTCTTTATGAACACAGGCCAGGTCCTGTAGCACTGAGTAACGCCAATGAGTAACATTTATTCACAGGAGTGGTCTCTGTGGAGAAGGGCTGCCAAGTCCTGGCCCCGTAAGATTTTTTCTTTAGCAAGCAGCCAGAGCAGAGCTCCATATGGCAACGCCGACTCCTCACTCAGCAGCTTGCCTGCTGCCAGCTCCTCGGTGGAAACAGCCCAGCGAGGCAGAAATGTTCCAGCTCAACCTTCGTGTTACTATTATCTTTAAAAAACTGCCAGAAAATTCCTTTAAATTTTTCCAAGGAGTTTCTGCCTGCTGTGGCTGCCCGCATGACCATGGCGGTCCCGGCTGCGGCCAGCGATGCTCTCCCGGGGCAGCTGCTCTCCTGGAGCAGCACCCAAGCCCTTCCCAGACAAATGTTTCTCCCAGGGCATGCCCAAAGGCTGTCTGTCCTTAGTGACCAGCTCCTCAGAGGCCTGGCACATCCCAAGGCTGCTGCAGAAGTGATGGGCTAGCTGGAAAAGCCTCTTACGCTTCTCTTCAGGCAACCTGACCTTAACATGGAGCTTAAGCTTGTTCAGGGACACGTCTCTGATAGCCCTTCCCTGTTCCTCCACACACAGGAGAGATTTAGGAGGGGTACAAGAGTGGTTGGGTGCAGAGATGGATGCCTTGTCCCACCGTGCAGCTGTCGTGCATTAACACCCTTGCTCTGAGACAGTCAAAATTGGGCAGAGCTGAGCAGGAGACCTGCACCCACCTCCCTTGCAGCTTGTCCCAGAAGCTGGGGGTTCTCAGTGCCTTGCCTTGGTAGTTTTTCTTCCATTAAAATGCACAAAGGAAGATGCAATCCCCTCCAGCCACAGGTGCTGCCTTTCCCCAGTGCCACCATTCCTTGCCATCTGCCTGGGAGATGGTGCTCCCAAAGGCTGTCTGCACCCAGAGGCTCTTCCCAAGGGCTGGCAGCAGCAACCCCAGCAAACAACCCCTTGGTACAGCAGAGACACAGCGCAGGAACCCTGCCAGCCCCTGCACCAGCCACACCAGCCATGGGGACCCTCTAGGCAGCCAAGGGACCCTGTCTGAGCCCCCCAGCACCATGGGGACCCCGCAGCATAGAGCAGCAATGGCCCATCTAGGACCTGCAGGCATCCCATGTTCTCGCCATCCTTCACCTTCCCCTCTTTCCAGGGCCCACGCATGCAATGACTGGCAAAGATCCATAGAGGGGCTGACATTTTGCAAAGGTCTCTGAAGGTCAACCAGAGCCCTTAGAAGATGTACCCGCCAGCAAGGACCGGCAGCAGGCGATGGGGACCGTGGCCATCTCGCATCCATCACTACCATCAGCTGCTCCCACCACCTCTGGCACATTCCTTGGTGCCATCAACCTCCTCGCAGGGTCGGGGCAAAACCCACAGCAGCACGTAAAGTAATGCGAGCTTAACTCCGCCAAGGTCATGCCTGCTGAGCACCTAGGCAGGAGCGGTCCCAAAGCAAGGCTAGTGCTGAGCCCAGGTCACGCTCGCGGAGCCCTTCAGCATCCCCGCAGCCCCAGCCCTGGCGTGTGTGCTTAGTGCCAAATCGATATGTGCGTCTTCCTGGTAAATAATTGTGTCAGTGGGATGCTAATGGTGCACAGTGCTCGTGGTGTTCAAGCTTTTCTGTTTTTTTTTTTTGTCAACGAAGCAAAGTCATTCATTTTCCTCCCCCTTCCCCCCAAATGCACAAAATGGGCTCCAGACCCACCTCCTACGAGGAAATGAGAACCAGCCCCAGAGGATCACCCAGCAAGAAGCCTCTGTTCGGAGATCTGACGCCTCTTCAAAGCCGGGGGAGCAAATGTGCTCCTACCTCCGCTGATTTATGAAGAACGTCTGCGTCACCGATGCGGGGGAAACGCTTAAATGCTACCAGAGGGAAGGGGAATCGAGCGCTCGCTGCCTGCGCTGAGGGGGCTGCACTGAATAACCCCTCTGATTGTTATCGTTTGTTTTCATATCATTAGACCTGTATCATATTTTGAAGGAAAACAAACAACCTGGCAACTGCAGCACATGCTGCTGGATTATCTGCCTGCTAGCAAAATAAATGTCAGCATGCCACCGCTGGGACTGGCCGATGGCAGGCGGGACATGCCAAAGGCAGCTCATGAATGGCACGTGGCAGCAGCCAGCCTGGGACTGTGTCCCCACATCTGAGGGACATGGGGAAAGCAGGTGGCTTGCCCGTGCTGGTGGGAACCAGCCAATATCGCCTTGGCTGGAGGCAGGAGCAAAGCCAGAGCTGGGAGCAGCCAACCCAGCATCCCGGGAAAGCAGGAGAAAGGCTCGATGAAGTGAGGGGCACAGCCCAGGAGCGTTGTCTGGAGCTGTTGTTTCCTTCCTTCCCTCCCCGCTGTGCTGAAAAATTCTGGGTGTAAATTGTTCTAAGTTATATCTGTTAGGTTTTAATTTCTGCTGATGCCCCAGAGTTATTTATGCTCTTGAAATATAGCAGTAGGCACATGGATGGTGTTGCGTTCATGAAATACAGCCTGCTGCCTATTGTATTTATTGATCAGTGCAGTAAATAATTCCAACAAGCACAACTCATCCCAGTGAGCAGAGGACGCGGCCGAAGGCTGCCCATCTGCCAGGACCACCCCCAGGGCTGCCAGGATTGCACCAGCAGCACAGGGCTGACAGACCTGCTCCTGAAATGCTCTCTTTCATCCAAAACGAAGCCAAGAGAGCCAGTCCATCTCCCAGGTGGGTACCGGTGCCAGCTGTGCCCTGGGCTGGTGCAGGGCTCCCAGCCAGGACAGTCAGTGCTGCAGGGACATCCCTGGGGACATGGGATGCAGCCCTGTGGCCACCATGGGATGCTCCCAGTTAATGCCAGAAGGGCAGCGACAGACAAAAAGCAATGGCTTGACCATGTCCCAGCTGGAGCGGAGGCACCCGAGGGACATGCAGCCACCCCAGGAGCTGGATCCCCCCAGCACCCTCAGCACCACGTGCTCCAGGAGAGCTGGGAGGCCACTGCTAGAAATAAAAGCTCTTCGCAAGGATCTTTTCTGGTTTGATTTGACCACACTTGGGGAGAAGAGTAAGGCAGCACATAACAGCCCTGTGTAGAAGCAGTGGCTTCATTAGCATAGTTAATGTCTGTGGAATTTATTCAATGTCTGAATTCTTGCACTTTTTCCAGGGGAAAGGCAACAGAGGACTCTGCATAATGCTGTCCACGCGGAACTGTCCCTCTCAGCTGTCCCTGGATGCTCTCCCTGTCCTGCAGCAAGAAGAGAGACCCGGGAAAGCCAGGCACTATGCTGGATAAATTTAGTGTTGCTACACCAGGACTCATTTATCTTAGCTCGAAGGCAAACTGACACCGTCCTCAAGGACAGGAGCTTAACAAGCAAAGTAGGAAGATCTGAACCACATCTTGACCTGGGCTCAATCCTGCAGCCACGCTGAACCAAACAAGGTTGATTTATGCCAGCAAGAAGCCAGTCTCTGAGGCCTGAATTTGTGCCCAGCTCCTACTGCCACCAGCATCGCTGGAGCTGCCTGTCCACGCGGGGCAGAACTCAGAGAAGGTCACTAATCAGGGAGCAGAGCAGGTTACGGGGGAGCAGCAGAGTTGTGCAAACCTAGGGATCAGGAGCAGATTTTGTGCACGGGTCCTGCTGTGCTGCCTGGGTGACACTGCACACATAGCAGCTGCGGCACTTTTGGTGGCACCTGCAGCATCCCCACATCCTCTGCTGACACAGGGACCCTGCACCTTGCTGGCTGTTGCAGCAATGACCCCAGCGATGCTGGGAGCTCTGGCCATGCTGATCTCGGTTCATCTCAGGGCAGCAGTACACAGCACAGCACAAAAGGGTGCTTTCATCAGCTCTGCTGAGTTTTACCCGGGGGCGAGCGCGATGCCCTGATGGGCTCTCCCCAGGGGACAGCTCCTTCCCATTTAGCTGGTTGTTGCCCCAAAGGGGGTGGCACAGCCTGAGACACCCTGTGTTACAGAAGGGTTAATGACTAATTGCAGACCTTAGAAGTAGTCAGGGATACTAGGTTTATACTGTTAGCCTTGAAATATCTTGTTTGTCTAGGACTAATCCTTGCATACTTGTAAGCAATGAATTCAGGTGCTAACAAAGAGACCGCCCTGAGGATGAAGGAAAACTGGCCCGAGGCCAGCAATTGCAGGCCAAGAAAGATTAAAGACCGCGATGACCTGGTTCTAAGAGCGTATATGAAAAATTCAAAGAACTCTGGCCAGCTGAGTAGAGGAGGGGGTGGATTTGCAGACCCTTGAGACCCCCAAAGACCCCTGCTCTGGATAATTGGGCATGCGTGAAGGGGAGGGCAAATATTATAATTAGTTTTGGGAAATTCTGTGAATATGTATGGCTTTTCCGGGGAATTTATTGAATATGTATCCATGGACTGTATAAAAGGGTTACCTCTGCAAAGGAAGGTACGCAGGATAGGTGGAATTATTCCCCGTGCATCCAGCTGTACTAAAGCAATGCCTCCTTCTTAACATCATATTGATGTTTGGGAGGTTTACTTCCCGATTTCACTGACACCTGGAGACCAAAGCGACTGCCTGACTCCAGGCAGCACAAACTGTCCAATAGCTCTACCTCCAGCCAAGCCCCTGGCTTTGCACCGCTGCCTGCGCCTTCCCAAGCCCCCCCAAACATCCTTTCTTGCTCCACAGACACAGAGGGAGACAGCAGCAGCCACCAGCTGGCCCCATTTCCCGAGCTGCCCCCGCGCTCAGCACCTGCCCTTTTCCACCACCAAGGAACCTTCCCCAGCCCCGAGGAGCTGCAACATCTTCCACCTCCTGCAAAACCCCCAAACTCACTTCCAGGGCTGAAGGCACACATCCTCCCTGCCGGAGATGCCCCCAGGCACCCAGCATCTGCAGGATGTGAGGACCAGCACCCCCTGCACTTCCCAGCACCCCAAAATACTGAGTAGAGCCACTTCACCTTGGCCCGCACCCTGGGCAGGAGCTGGCTGCCAAGCTCCGACTTGGATCTAGCGATAGACTTTTGCGCTTTGGCTCATGGATCCTGGAAACAAGAGCTTTAATCATTGCTTGCTTTTATGCACCGAGAGCCAAAATTGTCTTGTTAAATACAGTAAGAGATCAGTGCTCGCAGTAAAGAATGTTTCAATGACTACTTGTGTGGGTAATTATTTCAGGCTTGCCTCTCTTCCCCTCTTAAGAAAAATCACGGAATGTGGAAATTATTGCCAACCCTCTCCGGACTTGGAACGCTTTGTGCCGGTTACAGGCGCTGGCTCTGGGCAGCGCTTCAGCCTGCGCCTGTTTTTTGCTGCCTGGTTGTGCACTGTCCCGCTTGCTGATGGGAGCATCTCACACAAACCCAAAGCACAGCCTCTTACTAGATGTTATGAAGAAAGTTAACTCCGTCTCAGCTGAACCCAGGACACTAAATAACCCCAATGTCTGCCCTAAAGGAGTCTCTGCTGTGCCAGCCATGGTGTAAGCCTGTCCTCCTGCCTGAGCACAGCACACATCAGCCAAACCCACAAAATCCTGGTTTTATGTTTATTTTCCCCACTTCTGCATCCCTGAGAGGCAGCTTGGGACCCCAACTGTGCCACAGCCCCAGCCAAGAGCAATTTTTCTCTCAGTGCTTCTCTTCCTATCGTCTCAAATATTACACTATTAAAGTTCTCTTTTAGCTTTTATTATGATTTTTTCCCAAGATAAGCGCCCTGTAGAAGCAGAGAGAGCCCCAGCACTACCCACGTCATTGGGGGTGACAGGGTGAGGATCCTCAAGCTGGGTGAGGGTGCGCAGAGGAAGAGGAGGATGGTGCGCAGAGGAAGAGGAGGATGGTGCTCAGCCTTCCCTCAGCCCCAACTTGGAAGAAGGGACCAGGAGAGCAGACTGCAGCGATGCTGCCTGCTCTGAAAGTCAGAGGATGTTTTTCCAGAAAAGGGGGATTTTTCCTGTTGAGCAAAACACCCTCAGCCCGCTTGCAGCTGGGTTTGCATCTCCTCCTCCTCTGCAAATGCAGCTGGTGGCTGAAACCCTGGCAGGAGGAGAAGAAAAACCCCAGATGGGGGACGACTGTCAGTTTGCACTGATTTCTAGAGAAGGTTTAGGATTACAGAGAAACGCACAAAACTGGCTTCTCAGCACAGCCAGCCCCGCACGCAGCGTGCTCCGCAGCGGGGTTCAGCACCCCCGGATTTCCGCCGAGCCTGGAAATGCTGGGAAAGCCCAGCCCACGGGGGAGTGGAAGGAATACCCTTCATCTGCAAACACATCTGCAGCTCTGGCCTCGGCGAGGAAGGGTGACAACGCAGCACCCCCTGCCCACACCCCTGCCAGAAGGTTAACGCCAGAGGAGGGGCAGGGCTGGGGGCACCCCTGCAGCCCCCCGCGCCGGACCACCCGGCTCACACCAGCTCCCTGTGTTATTTACAGAGCGTCATCGCAACATGACGGTGATTCATGGGGCACTTTCCTGCCTTTCATTACACTAATAAATCTCTGGGAGCAGCGGGGATGGCGCATCGCAGCACGCCTCCATCCCTCCCCGCATCCAGCGGGCAGCTCGGCTCGCACCTCCCAGTGGGTTTTGTACCAGGTGGTGGTGGGTGGGATTGTTGCAAAGCACCTTGTGAATGTTTCAGGGAGATAAGAATGGGGTTCGTTCTGTAAATCGGCAGATACAGATGTGCCCAAGCAATCAACTTGGAACAGGTCTGGCCTGGGGAGGCAGTGGAAAAAGAAGAAGACAGACAATATGCGAATGATTTGGGGAAAATTATTATAATATGTTAATGATTTGTGGAAAATTATCATTATGCAATTATTATAATACGTAATTTTTTTGGGAAACTAATGTGAATATTCATGTAATGTCGACATAAAACGTACAAAAAACACTCCCTGGTATGCAACTAGAGCAAGATCGGAGCAGAAGCATTTCAGGGTGGATGTTAACACAGGGCTGCATCACTTCTGGCTTACAGTTAAACTCCAAGCCAGTTCGTTAGCATCGAGGTTAATTAGGGCTCTTAGCTGAACCTTTGACATAGGGACTTGCGTTCAAGCCTTTCATTGTGTATTTAGCCAGATGGCTAGCCTTGAGAATGTTTTCTTACAAGTGTTGAAAATGATTAGTTGAGGAATTTCTAATCAAGGGACAGAGTCCTTGAAGATATAGGACATCCTGGGCAACTACATAAATCACATGTATCCATGCATCCTGCTTATCTTGTTTATCTTTCAGTCTGTTGAACTAGTTTTTGACTCAAAGCATCTGTTCTAAGCGAGACACAAACCACCTCCGTGGGACTTTTCTGTGGGCTCATTTCCTAGAGGACAATAGTTTTGAAACTGTAAAGTAAAGTAAGGAACATTCTGACCTTGAGTAAACATCACCAGACTGACGCTATTGTGCTGAGCTGGTCAAACAGTAACCGCATTTCGTTTCGGTGGTTACCAAAGCAACGCTGTTTAGACCTTAGTTGATGAAGTACAAACAAACGGGGTCTGGGATGACTCAATACCCTACAAGGAAAATGGGAGGATGGGTTTTCATTCCCAAACCACCACCTCAACCCTCGCGCAGGCGCAAAGGATCTCTGCCAGCTCAGCATTTTTGAGTGCGCAGGCGTGAGAATTCTATTTATTGTCACCTAATGAATATGCATTAGGGAGGAGGAATAACTGTGTTGGGTAGGTGGGGCTCCAGAATCTTTTTGTATAAATACATGACCCAACTCTTGGCCGCGTGCTCGATTTGTGGAAACTTTCCACCTTGCACCCACCGCAGAATAGAGCAATGTCTCCTCTCTAAACACGCTTCGGGTGTTTCGGGAGTTATTTTCCATTTCAGGGAACAGTTTTGGCCCCCCCAGATGGGACTCCATTTCTGAGATCAGACTCCGCTCGTCTCCTGCTACCGCCGGTGGGAATCGCTCGTCAGACTCCAGCACGTACCAGATGCCTTGTCCGGGGACTCCCCCGCGATTTCCCCGGTGGGTGGTGAGTGACTGGCCGTGTCGGATCACTAGAGACATTGCTCATTAATAAATCCCTGAGTAACTCGTACCCGTTAAGGTACGGATCAGAGGAATTACCTTTTAGGTCTGGCACTGTGGCTGGTATCTCTCTTGTGTTATAACAGTGACAACCAGAGCAGGAAAATTGGGGTTTTCGCTTGGTTTTTGGTTGAGTTTTTTGTTTCATTTTCTGTTGGTGTTTTTAAGTGCATTGTGGTTTTATATTGTAAACTGTTATAATGGGAAATACTATGCTTTCTGCAGAAGAGGGGGTAACAAAAGCTTCTCCTTTGGGATGTATTTTAAGTCGTTGGAAGGAATTTGGAGGAGACCGCCTAACCCGGAAAAAACTTATTATGTATTGTAATCAATGGTGGCCAAAGTATGCTCTGGAAGATCAGGAGAAATGGCCTAAAAATGGAACTTTAAACTATAATACTATTTTACAGTTGGTATTATTCTGTAGGAGGGAAGAGAAATGGGATGAATTACCATATGCTGATCTGTTCTTTGCTTTGCGAGATTATTGGAAAAGCTGGAAAGAATGTGGCTTGGACACCAATGTGTCAGCTTGGGAAAGTCTTAAAGAGAAACCCTTAAAGAGATGTTGCTCTGCTCATAGCATAGGACAGCGATGTCAGAAACATCAGGATGCTCCAGGAGAGAGGGAAGACGTGCAGGTCTTGGTTGTTCCTAGGAGCGGGGCAACTGACAATAATGGTCGTGAAAATGGGGGCGAAGGAGGTGCACAAGGAGGAGTGAACATTGAAAGTGGCAGTGATAAGGAAGATGAAGGGAGGGATTTTAGTCCTCTAGCGGGTCAAACACGGAGAGAAGGAGAGGTTCTGCTGGCACCTTCACAGCAGGCAGCAGGACCACAAGAGGAACCGGTGGGTGTTAAGGTTCCTTTTTCAATGACAGATTTAGAGGCTTGGAAAGAAATGGCAGGGATATATCAGGAGGATCCAGGAAAGGTGGCTAAAGTATTAGAAACAATAATTGAAAATCACAATCTGGATTGGAAAGGAATTCACATGGTATTAGGATACCTGATGACATATGAGGACCAAAGGGCGGTTTTGGTTAAAGCTAAGGAAGAAGCAGAAAGAGTTCATGCTCAGGATGCACAGGTAGGCAGGATAGAATATCATTTCCCTCCCACCAATCCCAATTGGGACCCAAATAATCCCACTCAGAGGTTATTGATAACTCAATATCAAAGATTAATACTGTTTGGTGTAAAGAACGCAATACCGAAACAGAACAATTTTTCTAAATTATATGAGGTGGTACAAGGGAAAAGTGAGGATCCATCCGCATTCTTTGAACGTTTATGTGAAGCAGCCAGAAAATATACAGAATTAGATCCTGAAAAGGAAACTGATGTATTAATTTTTGTAAATTTGTTTGTGGGACAATCTAATCCAGACATTCAAAGCAAGCTGCAAGAGATAGAAGGAGCGGATGTGAGGTCTCTTGATAAATTATTAGAGGTGGCTTGGAAAGTGTATAATGACAGGGAAGAAGAGGAAAAGAAACAACAGGAAAAGGAACAAATTAAGCTAGATAATAGAAAAGAACAATTGTTAGCTGCAGCTATAGCTGAGGGTATCAGAAAAAGCAGAGGACGTGGAGGTGGATTTAGAACAACTCCCCCCCACCGCCCAGGAGAATATCACAAAGCCCTATTCAGGCAAGGAAGGAGCAAACCTTTAGCCTGGGACCAGTGTGCGTACTGTAAGCAGAAGGGACACTGGAAAAGGGAGTGTCCCCGGAATCAGCCTCGGGGAGTTCAGGAAAATCCCCATGTAACAGACTTGTTAACATCAGACAAGGATTCGGATTTCCAGGGACCAGGGGCAGATTTGGAAGACTCCCCAACAGATCCCCTGGTCACTCCGAAGCTGGAGAACGAGGAAATAAAATTTTTCAGTGATACAGGAGCCACATATTCGGTATTAAACACACATAAAAGTGAATTGCGTAAACAAGAAATGCCTGTGATTGGGGCGACAGGGAGGAAAGAAGTTCCACCTTTCTTTCAACCAATTCAATGTGGAATTAGAAATAGGAGTTTTACTCACAAATTTGTATATATTCCTGATTGCCCGATGCCTCTCTTGGAAGGGGATTTGCTAAGTAAATTGGATGCTCAAGTAACGTTTGAAAAAGGCAACAACATCCGTGTGCAAATCCCAGAAGAAAAAGCCTTGGCGGCGCAAGTTCTTCTGTTACAGAAAGAGACACCCAGGGCCGAGGAGATTCCAGAGGAAGTGCTGAACGCGGTAACACCTTTGGTGTGGGCTTCAGGGGTTCCTGGACTATCCAAAGCTGCGGAACTGGTAACAGTCGCTTTAAAGCCTGGCGCTAAACCGGTAAGACAAAAACGATGTTCAGTTAAGCTGGAGGCAAGAAAAGCATTAGAACCCTTGATTGAGAACTTTATGGCTCATGGACTTCTGCGAGAATGTCAATCAGAATATAACAGTCCTGTTCTGCCTGTAAAGAAGCCTCGGACCAATGAGTATAGGGTGGTCCAAGATTTACGAGCTGTAAATCAGATTACACAGGATGTACACTCTGTGGTACTAAATCCTTATACGCTCTTGGCTAAAATTAAAGAAACTGACCAGTGGTTCACTGTCCTAGATCTGAAGGATGCTTCCTTTTGCATACCACTGGAAACAGAAAGTCAGAAACTATTTGCATTTGAATGGGAAAACCCAAGAACAGGAAAAAGGACACAACTGTGCTGGACTGTCCTTCCTCAGGGATTTAAAAATACCACAACTATTTTGGCCAACCAATTAGCAAAAGAATTAGAGAGTTGGCGAGAAGAGAATCCAAAAGTGACTTTGTTACAGTACGTTGATGATATCTTGCTGGGTACATCGACTCAACAAGAGTCGATTCAATTTACCATCAGCCTTTTGAATTTCTTGGGGGCTGCTGGATATAGAGTTTCTAAGAAAAAGGCTCAGATTGCTCAGCAGACTGTAATTTATCTTGGTTTTACTATTGCTCAAGGACAACGGAGCATAGGCACCGAAAGAAAGGAGGCAATCTGCCAAGTGCCGGAGCCAGCTTCAAAGTGAGAATTACAAGCATTCCTTGGGATGGTCGGATGGTGTCGCCTATGGATCGCCAATTTTGGACTGGTGGCCAGACCACTTTATGAGGCTGTAAAAGGTACCGGGGAGCTTCTGGAATGGACACCTGAATGTCAAGAAGCCTTCAATGAGGTAAAACTAGCCTTAATGTCTGCGCCTGCTTTAGGGCTTCCCAATAAGGAAAAACCCTTTGAGCTCTTTGTTACTGAAAGACAGCATATTGCTTTGGGAGTCCTCGCCCAAAAATTTGGGTCATGCAGGCGACCTGTGGGATATCTTTCTAAGCAATTGGACCAAGTGAGTCAGAGATGGCCGTCTTGTTTGAGAGCAGTAGCCGCTACCGTCTTGCTTGTACAAAAGGCACACAAACTGACTTTGGGACAGAAAATGATAGTTCAAGTGCCACACATGGTAACTGCAATTTTGGAACAGAAAGGAAGAAATTGGTTGTCCCCTGGCCAAATGATGAAATACCAGGCTGTGTTACTGGCAGAGGACAATATTGAATTGAAAGTGACTTCAGCTCTGAACCCTGCCACCTTACTGCCCACACCTGGCGAGACCGAACTGGAGCACGATTGCTTGAGAACTATTGAACAAGAGAATTCAAGCAGAACCGATTTGAAAGACTCACCACTAGACACAGCTGAACTAAGTTTGTTTGTGGATGGAAGCAGGCAAGTGATTAATGGAGCTTGGAGAGCTGGATATGCAATAGTTACAGACACAGAGGTATTAGAAGCAAACCCCTCGCCAGCTAACACCTTTGCCCAAAAAGCTGAGCTGATCGCTTTAATAAGAGCCCTGGAATTGGCAGAAGGAAAAACTGTAAACATTTGGACAGATTCCAACTATGTATTTGGAGTAGTCCATGCCCACAGAGCACTTTGGAAGGAAAGAGGATTACTTTCGGCACAAGGAACATCAGTAAAATATGGGCAACTCATTCGAAAATTATTACAAGTCATCAGCTTGCCTAAGCAAGTGTCGGTAATGCATTGCAAAGCTCACCAAATCTGTAACACTCCAGTAATAATGGGAAACCGATGGGCTAAACAAGCTGCAAAAAGGGCAGCTAAACGATCAAGATTAGGAATATGGCCCAAAAAATATGGGGAATTGAGTGAGCTTCCCAAATATAATAAAGAAGAAAATCGGTTAGCCCAGTTACTGAATGCCCAAAGGAACCAGGAGGGGTGGTGGATCACCGAAGACAATCGAGTAATACTACCTTCAGTGATTTTAAGAGAAGCTATAGCAAAAAAGCATCAAAATACTCACTGGGGAATACAAGCTGTGTTTGATAATCTAAAATCACAAATCTTGGGTGTAGGAATGGGAGGAATAGCAAAGAGCATCGTGAGAAAGTGCGAGATATGCCAGAAAAACAGTCCTCAGGTGCAACCCAGACAACCTCCCAGAACAATCCACAAGGGAAACACACCTGGTGATTATTGGCAAATAGACTTTTCTGAACTTCCGAGGCAAAACGGGTATCAGTATCTCTTGGTATTCATGGACACTTTTTCTGGGTGGCCAGAAGCTTTCCCTTGTCGCACCAACCAGGCAAAAGAAGTAGTTAAAATACTCCTAGAAGAGATTGTCCCTAGGTTTGGCATTCCTATAGGGATGTCTTCAGACAGAGAACCCTGTTTTGTAGCTAAGATAATACAAACGCTAGCAAAGGTGTTAGAAATTCCATGGGATTTACACACTCCACAGAGGCCACAATCTAGAGGTCAAGTGGAGAGGATGGATCAAACAGTTAGGAGGCAATTAAACAAGGTTTGTCAGGAAACTCAGCTGAAATGGCCAGATGCTCTCCCATTAGCGTTGTCGAGAGTTAGGATCACTCCTAAATCTAAGGAGAAAGTTAGCCCGTTCGAAACGCTGTACGGGAGGCCTTATCGAACTGCAAACCATGAACCAGCATCTGAGGAAATCATTGGGCAGCAATACCTTAAAGAATATGTCATGTTTTTTGGGGAAAGTTCTATTTTCTCTTCAATCCAGAGTACCTTTGGGTCTGGACACTGCTGGGCACAGCTCTCAACCAGGAGACTGGGTTTACCTGAAAACCTGGAACGAAGAGCCTTTGGAAGAATGGTGGCAAGGACCTTTCCAAGTCCTTCTGACAACCCACACAGCAGTGAAGCTCGATGGAGCAGGACCTTGGATTCACCACACTCGAATCAAGGAAGGAATCCCCCCCCAGATAAGTGGACTGTAAAACACTGAATCCTTTACAATTGCAATCTGAGAAGAGTAAGTCGATGCATTGCACCTGGGTTACTGGAAAATCTTTTTTTTAATATTGATTGTGAACAAAATTTTACCTTATTGGGTATTGGAATGATAATATCCTTTTGCTTCTTTGTCAGGGACTTGTGTAATTACGTGCTGTGTAGCCCTAGGCTTGCTGTTGTTAGGAATGAACAATGATCCAGACACATCAGGAAGATCCATGGACACAAAACAAACACTTCATTATGGTTCAAAAGACCATGAGAGCAGCCAATAGATCCGACTGTTGAGTATGCTCTCATTTCCCTGAAAATTCCAATAAAGGGGTGCCCATGGTGGGAATACCTGTTCCATTTAAGACCTCCTAGAATAACTTATGGATTGGATTTGATGAAACCAGAGAACCTAGATTTTCAAAAGTGGGATATAGAGAATCTGAAATTCTCAGATGTTAAGTGCCTAACAATGAATAAAACCCTGTTGTCTGGGAAGGTATCAGTAGGACACCATCCATATTGCAGCTGCTCTATGAAATTGCAAGGAAAAGCTGAAACAACCCAATATGGGACCACTCCAAAGGGAGCTGGATGGCATTGGTTACGCAGCCAGAAAGCTAGAAAAACTTCACCTCCACATTGGGAGGAGACTCGTACTTTAGGAGCCCTGATCCCCTGTATAACTGTAACAGACAAGTTAGATAAAAGCTTCTGAGTTAGATCCTATATGGAAATATACATAAAAGAAGCAATCCTGTAATAGAAGGACCAACAGGATTTCGTTCCTCTGCTAGATGGTTTATACTCTGGTTGGGAGTAAGTGAATTGGAAAAAGTGATTGTGAATGTTTCAGCTGAATTGGAGAACATAGAAAATAAAATTATAGATGCAATTACTGCACTGCAGGGAGAGGTCTCCCCAGTGAGTCAACTTTGCAAAAGAGAATGGTGTTAGATAGGATGCTGGCGTCCCAAGGAGGAGTTTGCAGTTATAAACACCAGCTGCTGTGTCCAGGTGGATCAGTCAGGAAGAATTACCACCCACCTACAGGAAATTTGGAAACACACTAAAGTTTTACATGAAATACAAAAAGTTGACACTTCCTTTGGATTCCAGGATGTATGGTCTTGGTTAACAGCCTGGATTCCTGATTTGTCTTCATGGATCAAGACACTGCTAAGGACAGTGATTTTGGTCGGGAGCGTATTCGCATGTGTGTCTGTAATTCCAGTGCAGTGTCCAGGGTTGTACCTCAGCAATGAGTAAGGCAACAAAAAGGAGAGACTTAATTCATGTCTAAATTGAGTCTCAAATGGGGGAACCATTGTCTTACAGTTAAACTCTTAGCACTGAGGTTAATTAGGGCTCTTAGCTGAAGATATGACACAGGGACCTGCATTCAGGCATTTCACTGTGTATTTAACCAGAGAGCTAGCCTTCAGGATGTCCTTGGAGATTAGGACATCCTGGACAACAACATAAATCACATGTATCACTGCATCCTGCCTATCTTGATTATCTTTACATTTGTATAATTAGTTTTTGACTCAAATCATCTGTTCTAAGCAAAATGTAAACCGCCTCCATGGGACTGCCCCGTGGGCTGGAAGGGGTTGATAATGTATAAAACACAAACTCTGGCATCACTCCATGTGCTCGACTTGTGGAAAACCTCCACCTTGCACCCTGCGCAGAATAAAGCAACGTCTCCTCTCTAAACATGCTTCATGTGTTTCAGGAGTTATTTTCCATTTCAGGGAACAGCAGCAGCACCACCGCGAGCCCACCCACCCGCTGCAGCCCCACCAGCACCAGCAGGATGGAGACACCCCCAGCACCCCGAATGATCAGGGTGACCAGCGCGTTTCAAAATGCCCCCAGCAATGGGGTTAACCCTGCGCTGGAGGGGGCTGAGACCTTCAGAAACCACATCCCTTCGAGTGCACAGGCAAGATTTAGAATCCAAACAGAGAAGCAGCTTGCATTTTCAGAACAGTTCAAAGAATACTTTTTTATTTGCACCAAGAAATGCAAATAAACCGAGCAGAGCTGGTTTCCTTCCAGCAGCCACACCACTTGCACATATTGCACATTCGCTCTCGGGAGCCACAGGGGTTGGAGGGGGGACCAGGGGCAGCGGCAGGGTGGGACCAAGGCTGGGGGATCCAGCCCTCACCTGCAGCAGGACCCCCAGGGACACCCTCACAGCCAGGACATACCAGCAGCATGCCCTGCCCTGGTTTGGACAGGCACTGCTCCCAGCAGGTTGCTCACAAGTAAATTGTTTGGTTAATGAATTATTTCATTAAGCAACACTTATTTTCCTAAAAATACCTCGCTGCCTGGTCCCAGCAGGGCTGGGCACTGGGCTCCTCTCCCCCCAGCTCCAGTTAAACCAGTGAATAATCTCACCCAGCACCAGGGCACAGCACCAGGCAGCCCAGCTCGCTCCAGGACCAGACACAAGCACCATGTACCCTGTTTCTTTCATCATATTGGCGTACCCCAGAGCTGCCTGCACCTGATGGTGCTGATTTGTGCCCACATGTGGGATGCAGCCCACCCTCTCTAGGACTTGGAAGCCACCACCGGGCACCTGGATGCAATTACAGCCACCTCTCCCCCAGCATGGGCATTTTCTTCTCTGTTGGGGAATATGGCATGAGTTTACTCTGTGTACGGAGATCACGTCAAGATGGCAAGCAGAGCAGAAGCCAATGGAGCTGCCAGCTCCAGATGCTGCTCGAGGGCTGTGTGCGGTGCTGGGGGGCTTCACAGAAAGGCAGGACACTGCAAGGGGACATGCTTATCCCTCCCCAGAGCTCCCCTCTGTGCTGGCCAGAAAAGGAGGCCACCACAGTGTGTCCTGCAGCAGGAAGTGTCACAGCCCAGCTATCCTCAGCACGGGACGGGGCAGGGGTCTGCATCACAGCCCAGCCATCCTCAGCACGGGACGGGGCAGGGGTCTGCATCACAGCCCAGCCATCCTCAGCACGGGACGGGGCAGGGGTCTGCATCACAGCCCAGCCATCCTCAGCACGGGACGGGGCAGGGGTCTGCATCACAGCCCAGCCATCCTCAGCACGGGACGGGGCAGGGGCAGCACGGGACGGGGCTGGGGCCTGCATGACAGCCCAGCCATCCTCAGTGCGGGATGAGGCAGGGGTCTGCATCACAGCCCAGCAATCCTCAGTGCAGGATGAGGCAGGGGTCTGCATCACAGC